CGTTCGCGGGCGGGGGTTGTTGTGGGGGCCGAAATCGAGGCTGGCGCATTGCCAGTGCTGGGCCCTGGGCTCGTGCTGAGTGGCGGGGCCGCAGGGCCGAGGGCGGTACCTGGCGGCGTTTCGGGGAGGGCCGCCAGACCGCCCCCAACACCCTTTGGGAACCCAGCGTGCCAGGCCCCGACGCGAGGTCGGGAGCCTGCACGCTGGCTCCCGGCCATGGAGGGCGCCGAGCGGTTGGGGGCACCGTCACGCCAGCCGCCCCGGCGATGGTTAAAGGTCTTCGGGCGGGCGTGGCCCCGGCAAGGGGGGGGGCGCCGCTGCTGGACCGCGGAGCCCCAAAGGGCGCGAATAATAATAATAATAATAATAATAATAATAATAATAATAATCATATAATTAACAATAATAATACTACTACTACTACTACTAACAATAATAATAATACTAATAATAATACTAAGCACGCAGATAATAATACAAACAATAAAAACAATACGAATAACATTAGTAATCATAATACTAATACTTCAACACTAAGAGTTTATTCACACGAATAAGGCTATGAGGAATATTAGCGGTATTAAGACGAACTCGAATACTAATAATGCTAGTAAGCGTGAACATACTAATCTCATAACAATCATACTCATAATTCTGAGGAGAATACTACTTAACATAATTGTACACGTGCGTATCATAGTTCACATTATAGGACGAATCTGAACAATAGTGGAACGATTAAGAATAATAGCGACCATGCTGATATTAATACTCAACACAGCACTAATACTACGAAGAAAGCAATGATAAGAAAACGAAGAAGGACTAGGAGGGGGGAGGAAGAAGAGAGGAGGAGGAGGAGGAGGAGCAGCAGGAACAGGAGGAGGAAGAGGAGGAGGAGGAGGAGGAGGAGGGTTATGATGAGCGATGAGTTTGATGACGAGGACGATGCTGGTGATTATGCTCATAGTGCTGCTGCTGTTGATGGTGGTGGTGATGATGGTGGTGATGATGATGACGATGCTGATGCTGATGCTGGTGATGATGATGACGATGATGAGGATACTGATGATGATGATGATGATGATGATGATGATGATGATGATGATGATGATGATAATAATGATGATGATAATGATGATGATGATGATGATGATGATGATGATGATGATGATGATGATGATGATGATGATGATGATGATGATGATGATGATGATGATGATGATGATGATGATGATGATGAGGAGGAGGAGGTGGAGGAGGAGGAGAGGGAGGAGGAGGGGGGGAGAGAGAGAAGAGGAGCAGGAGGAGAAGGAATGCAGAACGAGGAAGATGAGGAGGGATATGAGAAGAACGAGTAGGATGAGGATGCTGAGGATGATGATGATGATGATGATGATGATGATGATGATGATGAGGAGGAGGAGGAGGAGGAGGAGGAGGAGGAGGAGGAGGAGAACAGGAGCAGGAGGAGGGAGGATGCAGGAACGGAGGAGGGAAGTAACGGACGATAACAAGGAAGATGAAACATCGGGCTTTGGATCTATGTTGTCGGGAGAGGTTCTTGAAAGGCGACATAAGGGCATCTTATAGGCTTTCTTAGGGCACCCGTGGGGCCTCGTAGGGCATTCTTGGGGCCGTTTTGATGTTCATTTTGGGGGTCTTGGAACTCCTGTGAAGGGGTCTGGGAGGCCTCGTGGGCCCCATGTCTCACAAAAAGGGGCGGTCCTGAATTCAGGCCCACCCCCTCGGACACTCAAGCATGGCGTCTTGGTGCCCTCTTGGGCCGCTCTTGGAGCGCTCTTGGGCGCTCTCGGGGCCCTCTTGGGGCCCTCTTGGGCCCCTCTTGGGGCTCTCTTGGGGGCGATCTGGAGGCCCCCGAGGCCCATCGGAAGCGAACAGGCAAATCGGAAAAACAGTGGGTTCCATCTGCTTCTGAAGGACTCTGGCGCCCTGGAAGCCTGCCTCCAGGGGCACTTGCCATCGTTTTGGTGCTGCCTTGAGGCCTCCTGGAGGTAGGTGGAAGAGTATCGTGAGCCATCATCGGCTATCTTGAGCCATCTTGGAAACGATCTTGTGCTCTCGGATGCCCTCTCGGAGCCATCTTAGGCCATCTTGGCCGCTCAAACCCCTCCGCCCCCCCCCCCTCCAAGGCCAAGGGGAGCGGGTATTTGGAGCGGTAAACCCCTCCTCGATCAGTGGAAGAAGGGTTGTGGGAAGAGAGTAGACAAGAGTTCGCTAAAGCCTGTGGGTTTGTGAGAAAGCCTGATGCGAATCGCACGGCCAGCCCTTTCGACTAGCTGCGGGGTGCGACAGTGACGAGTCATTTATAATGAGAAGGAATGGGGCAAGGGGGGACAGCAGGAGGAGGGGGAGAAGGCGGAGAAGGAATATGGTGGGGAGGAGGGGGGGGGGAGCGGGAGGAGGGCAGGAGCGGAGGGGGGGAGAATGGCTTGACGGGAGGAGGGGAGGAGGGGATGATTGAAGGAAGGGAGGCGGAGAGCTAGGAAGGGAGGACGAGAGCAAGGGAGGAAGAGAGGAGGGGAGGGAGAGGGAGAGGAACATGATGACGGATGGTGCTAGATGCTGGTGACGCTTGTTACGGTGATGATGCGGATACTGATGATGCTGATGATGCTGATGATGACGATGATGGTAATGACGATGATGATGCTGCTGGCGATGATATTGCTGATGATGATGGTGACGACGATGACCATGCTGATTATGATGCTGAGGATGATGATGCAGATGCTGATGCTGATGATGATGATGATGATGATGATGATGATGATGATACTGCTGCTGATGCTGATGATAATGAGGGTGATAATGGTGTTGCGGCTGCTGCTGATGATGATGGTGCTGATGGTGTTGATGATGGATGGCATGATTATGATGATGATCGTGAGGGCGATGCTGGTGATCATGGTGATACTGTTGATGATGCTGGTGGTGATAATGATGATTATGATGTGGTTGCTGTTGCTGCTGCTGCTGCTGATGGTGCGACTTTCGCTGCTGATGAGGATGGTGATGCTGATACTACTGCTGCTGTTGCTGCTGATGCTGATGATGAATGGTGATGGGTGGTGGCGATGACGACGATAATGATACTGATGATGCTGATTACGACGACGATCCCAATGATATGATGATTCGGTTGTTGCTGCTGATAAGAATGATGATTATGCTGACGATGACGAGTATGATGAGGATTATGATGATGATGATGCTGATCATAATGATGCTGATGGTGCTGATGATACTGGTGCTGCTGTTGATGATGATGCTGGTAATGATGACTGTATGATGGTGGCGATGCTGATGATGCTGATGATGCTGATGGTGATGATGCACATAATGATGGTGACGCTACTGGTGATGACGCTGCTGGTGCTGAGGATGATGATGATGACGAAAATTCTGCTGATGATGCTGAGGATATTGATGACTATTCTGGTGATGATGCTGCTGCTGCTGCTGCTGCTGCGGCTGATGCGGCGGTTGCTGCTGCTGATGGGGATTCTGAAGCTTATGCTGTTGCTGCTGTTGCTGCTGATGCTGATGATGAATGGTGATGGGTGGTGACGATGACGACGATGCTGAGGACGATGATGATGCTGATGATGATGATGATGATGATGATGATGATGTTGGCGATTATTCTAATGATGCGGGTGATGACGATGCTGATGCTGATGATGATGATGACGAGGATGATACTGAGGATGATGCTGATGCTAACGATGACGACAACGGTGATGATGATGCTGACGATGATGGTGATGACTCTGATGATGCTATGATGATGGTGCTGATGGTGCTGATTATGCTGTTGCTGCTACTGCTGCTACTGCTGCTGATGATGATACTTATGGTATGCTGATGGGAAGCATGATGATGCTGATGATGATGCTGATGACGATGATGATGATGATGCTGCAAATGCGGATGACGATGATGATGGTGATGCTGATGATGATGATGCTGAGGATACTAATTGTGATGATGATGATGAAGATGCTGATGCAAATGATGATGCTGCGGCTGCTGCTGCTGATGATGGGAATTATGATGGTATGATGTCGATGATGACGATGCTGATGATGCTATCGTTGACTATTCTGATGATGATGCGGTTGCTGTTGCTGCTGCTGCTGATGATGATGCGGTTGCTGCTGCTGATGAGGATGGTGATGTTGATGCCAATGCTGCTGTTGCTGTTGATGCTGCTGATGATGGATGATGCCGGGTGATGACGATGACGACGATGATGATGACAATGATGATGCTGCTGGCAATGATGATGATGATGACGATTCTACTATCGATGATGATGGTGACAACGACGAGGACGAGTATGATGATTATGATGCTGATGCTGATGAATGCTGCTGCTGCTGCTGTTGATGCTGATGCGGCTGTTGATAATGATGATGATGCCGATGATGATGAAGAAGATGATTATGATGCTGATGATGCTATTGATGATGCTGATAATGCTGATAATGCTGCTGCTGCTGATGATGATGATGATGATGATGATACTGCTGCTGCTGCTGCTGATGATGATGATGATGATGATGATGATGATGATGATGACGCTGATGCTGCTGCTGATGATGGTGATGATGATGGTGATGATGATGATGATGATGATGATGATGATGATGATGATGATGATGATGATGATGATGATGATGATGATGATGATGATGATGATGATGATGATGATGATGATGATGATGATGATGATGATGATGGAGGAGGAGGAGGAGGAGGAGGAGGAGGAGGAGGGAGGATGAGGACGAGGAGGAGGAGGAGGAGGAAGAGGAAGACGAGGAGGAGGAGGAGGAGGAAGACGAGGAGGAGGAGGAGGAAGAGCAGGAGGGAGGAGGAGGGAGGAGGAGGAGGAGGAGGAGGAGGAGGAGGAGGAGGCGGAGGAGGAGCAGAAGTGGCCGCGCTCGAGGGAGCTCGGGTTTACGAACCGAGCTGAGGCATCGTCGCGGGAAGACCCAGAGGAGGCCGCCCCGCAGCAGCGCCTGACGCCCCTCTGCGCGGCGCCCTTCGGCTGCGAAGCCGCGGCCTCCGACCGCCCGCGGAGCGCGGGCGCCGAGACGGCGACGACGTGCTTCGCCGGCACCCCGTCGGGGGCGAGCTCGGCGGCGACGGCGGACGACCTCGCGGGCGAGGAGGCTGCCGCGACGGGCCTCGCCGGCACGCCGCGGAGCGCGAGCTCGGCGGCGGCGGACGGCGCCGCGGGCGCGGGGGAGGCCGCGGCGTGCCGCGCCGCCGCGCCGTGCAGGGCGGGCTCGGCGGCCGCGGCCGAGCACGAGGATCGGGGGGGCGCGTGGGGGGGCCGCTCCTGCAGCTCCTCCGCCTCCTCCTCCTCCTCCTCCTCCTCCTCCTCCTCCCTCCTCTCTCCTCCTCCTCCTCCTCCTCCTCCTCCTGCTCCTCCGCCTCCTCCTCCTCCTCCTCCTCCTCCTCCCTCCTGCTCTTCCTCCTTCTCCTCCTCCTCCTCCGCCTCCTCGTCTTCCTCATCCTCCTCCTCCTCCTCCTCGCCTGGGTGGTGTCGGGGGGGCGGCGAGTCCTCGCGCCCTGCCGCCCTCCGGCGAATTTGGGGGGGAGGGGGAGGGACGGGCAGGGAGTCCCCACGGCGACGGTGCGGAGCAGGGGCAGGGACGGGCAGGGGTCCTGGAGCAGGGGCAGGGGCAGGGACGGGCAGGGGTAGGGACGGCAGGGGTAGGGACGGGCAGGGGTCCCGGAGCATCGGCTCTCCAGGCGGTGAGCGCGTGTCATTTTCTGGCCTCGCAGAGAGGGGGAGAGAGAGAGAGAGAGAGAGAGAGAGAGAGAGAAGAAAAAAAACTAAGGGAGAGAGAGAGAGAGAGAGAGAGCGAGAGCGAGAGAGAGCGAGAGAGAGAGAGAGAGAGACAGAAAAAGAGAGGGAGGGAAAGAGGGAGGGAGGGATAAGGTCCGCTGGCCCTTCCGGGCCTCCCAGGGCGCCTTGCAGGCCTTGGGAGCAGACTCAAGGCGATCAGAGGGGCCATCGGAGAGGCGCAAGAGAGACCCAAGACAACACAAGAGCGCTCCAAGAGGAACCTCGATGGTCTGAAGACGGCCCAAGAGGCCTCCAAGATGCCCCAAGAGGCTGTTAAGAGAGCCCCGAAGAAGCAAACATCGTCCCATTCCCTTGGGACAATATATATATATATATATAATTTTAACATATCCGCTGTTTGGGACTTCGCAGCGTCCAAGACGGCCCGATGGGCCCCCGATATCGCCCCAAGACGGCCCAAGAGGCCCCCCAGAGGATTCGAAGACGGTCCACGAGGGCCCCAAGACTGTCCCAGAGAGCCCCGAGACTGCCCGCAAGAAGCCCAAGATGCCCCCAGAAGGCTCCCAAGAGAGACCTACGAAAGCCGTGGGAGACCCCCAGGAAGGCCACTGGAGGCCCCCAAGAGGGCCCCAGATGGTTTCAGAAGACCTCTGGAGGGCCCCAGCTCCCCGAGACGGTCCAAGAAGGTCCCGGGACGGCCCAAGAGGGCCCCAGGACGGTCCAAAAGAGCGCGAAAAACGCCACGACGGCGTCTTCCGACGAAGTACATCGAGCTGACCCGACGATCTTGATTCCACGCTTGAGGCTCGAGGTTTAAGTTCCTCGATCGAGAGAGACAGGCAATGGATCTAGATTCGAAGCTCGACGATCGAACATTTCCTGAGTGCCTGGAGCCTTCTAGGCATTCAGGAAGCTACCAAAAATCGATTTGCTCGGAGCTATTGCGACTTCTTCGGCGTGTCATGGAAATGCCCCTTACTTCCTCAGAGGACCTTCGCGCGTGAAAGAATCAGCATTCCTTCCCTACTCCTGCGCACAAGCGTGCAAACGCATCGGGCGAACGCGGTGTCAGCAGGCACCAGGGATACCAGAAAAATGAGCCAGTCGCGCGTCCAGGCATCGAGGTCCCCCCCGCTGAAGCAAGCGATGCTTTCTTGCTTTGCCGGGGAGGGTCTGGAACAAAGCGCATGGCGAGAAGCGCCAATGCTGTCTTGTATGTGTATATATACACACAAGACTGTATTGGCGCTTCGCGCCATGCGTTTTGTTGCGGACCCTCCCCGGCAAAACAATAAGTCACCGCTTCTTTGCGAGAAGCCTGGACGGGCGACCTGCCAATTTTTCTTATGTCCGTGGTGCCTGCTGACACCGCGTTTGCCCGATGCGTTTGCACGCTTGCGCGCAGGATTGGGAAGGAATGCTGATTCTTTCACGCGCGAAGGTCCTCTGAGGAAGTAAGGGGCATTCCCATGACACGCCGAAGAAGTCGCAGTAGCTCCGAGCAAATCGATTTTTGGTAGCTTCCTGAATGCCTAGAAGGCTCCAGGCATTCAGGAAATTTTCGATCGTCGAGCTTCGAATCTGGATGCATTGCCTGTCTCTCTCGATCGAGGAACTTAAACCTCGAGCCTCAAACGTGGGACCAAAATCGTCGGGTCAGCTCGATGTACTTCGTTGTCGGAAGACGCCGTCTGGGCGTTTTCCGGGCTCTTTTGGACCGTCCTGGGGCCTCCTTGGGCCGTCCCCGGACCTTCTTGGGCCGTCTCGGGGAGCTGGGGCCCTCCAGAGGTCATCTGAAACCATCTGGGGCCTTCTTGGGGGCCTCCAGTTGCCTTGTTGGGATTATCCCACGGCTTTCGTGAGTCTCTCTTGGGAGCCTTCTGGGGGCATCTTGGGCTTCTTGCGAGCAGTCTCGGGGCTCTCTGGGACAGTCTTGGGGCCCTCGTGGATGGTCTTCAAATCCTCCGGGAGGCCTCTTGGGCCGTCTTGGGGCGATATCGGGGGCCCATCGGGCCGTCTTGGACGCTGCGAAGTCCCAAACAGCGGATATATCAAGGTTGTACATTTCCCCGCGGGAATGGGACGATTTTTGCTTCTTCGGGGCTCTATTAACAGCTTCTTGGGGCGTCTTGGGGGCCTTGGGCCGTCTTGGGTCTCTCTTGCGACTCTCCGATGACCCCTCTGATCGTCTCGAATCTGCTCGCAAGGCCCGGCAAGGCGCCTTGGGGGGCTCGGAAGGGGCCAGCGGACCTGTTCCAAGGGCGCCCATGGGGCGGTTGAAACGTCCGACAGGGCGTCCAGGGCGTCCCTGGGGGGGGTCTGGTTTAGGGTGCGGGTGGGAGGGGGGGTCTGGGTAACAAGTGGCACGCGCGCCTTGGCTCTTGCACCAAAGGAGCTGGGAGGGACAGGAGGCTTTCGCTCCCTTCCTCCAGGAGTTCCTTCCGTGGCCCGGGGGAGGGGAGGACGAACGACGAACGAACGAACGACGACGACGAAAATAAAGAGGTCCGAGCTCTAGAACACAGCTGTGCAAGAGAATAAAAAACGGTTGGGCCGCCCGATCCCCCAGCGTGGCCTCCGAGAGGGGGGCCGCGCCCCGATGCCCCCCCCCCCCCCCGCGGGGGCTCCCCCTCGCCGGGAGGCTCCCGAAGCATTGGCCCCCTTTGTGTGTGCGCACGGCGGCCTTTCGCAGTTCGGTGCGCGGCCCACCGACCATCGGCGGACTGCGGCGTCTCTTGCCCGCCCGTTGCAGGAGAGTGGCAGCAGAGACGAGAAGGGCGCCCTGGAGGTCGGCGCCGACGGCGAAAGCGACGGCGAGGGGGGAACCGAAGAGGCCTCCGCCGACGAGGAGGCTTCGGCCGAGATGAACGTCTCCGACTCCGACTCCGAGGGGGGGAGCTGCGAGGACGCGGCCGAGGATGGCCTCGATGGGGAGCGCGGTGCCGCCACGGGGGCGCTGGAGGCGGAGGCGACGGAGGAGGCGCCCGGCGGGGAGCTCGTGCTGGCGGTCGCCCCCGGCGGGCCAGCCGCCGCCCCAGCGTTCGCCCCGGGGGGCCACGCCACCGCGCTGCGCGCCCGCAGCCGCGAGGCCCCGGGCGACCCAAGAAGCCCCCGCGCGGCCCCCGGGGCCGCCTGGGGCCCTCCTCGCGGGTGGCCTGGTCCTTTGTCGGACGGCGCCAACTCTGCACCTTCACCGATCTGGGCCAGGCTCAGCCCTGGGCCGGCCCAGGGTCGGGGTGCATGCCTTCCCGCCCTGGCCCACGACACTGGCGTGGGTACAGTTGGCCAGCTCTTGTCGTCCCCGCGGATCGACCCCTGACGGCCCCGGGCCCGAAAAAAGGGGGCCCTGGAGGCCGCGGTTGAGGACACGTCCCGGCGCTGCTTCGGTCAGCTGACCCTGCAGGCGGTGGTGCGTAGGCCTTGCGGGCGAGATTCAGATACAGATTTTTATTGCGCGTCGGGTTCTCGGGCCGCTCCCTCAGAACCCCGCGACGCAGTGGCTATGGATGCGGATCTTGCCCGCAGGAGTTGGGCTCCCCCCTGGCGCCCACTGGGCGCCCGTTCGGCCCACCCGAGGGCGGCTCCCGCCCTGCCTCGGCGTCCAGCGGCGCCCCGCCGGCACGCCCGGCGTCGAGGCAGCGTGCGCCAGCGCGCCCGCTCCAGGAGCCGAGTGCGCCCCTCACCAGGTCGTCGTCGTCGTCGTCGTCGTCGTCGTCGTCGTCGTCGTCTTCTTCGTCGTCGTCGTCGTCGTCGTCGTCGTCGTCGTCGTCGTCGTCGTCGTCGTCGTCCACTACCACTTCCTTTGTCTCTCCCTCTTCCTCCCTCCTCCCTCCCTCCTCCTCCTCCTCCTCCTCCTCCTCCTCCTTCGGGCGGAGCTGCGAGGATGGGCTCCCGGATGGGACACTTTTCAAATTTGTGGGAAGGCCAATTATCTCGGGACGTGGCAGGGCCCCGAGGCCACTCTTGCTGATGAGTGGCAGGCTCCCGCAATGAAGTGGGGTGCTAGATGCACGGAGCTTGGTGAGCTGCAGTCGTCAGCCGACCTAGCATCGCGATCGTACAATTCTGCGGTGCTTACTTGCACGTCATATATGGCACAGTTCTTTCCGGTCGATAAGGCTTTGAACGATCGTGAGCTTTGGGGTCTCCACAAGGCCCTCCACCTCCCCCCGAACTCGTTCTCTCGCTCCGAGTTCCTCTCTTTGGCCAATTGGTCTCCTTGCCCTACCCCACCTCTCTACTCACGAATGCCATGGCGTGCGCATGGAGGTGCGCGTCCGTTACGCTAGACACGATTCGGGGGCCGCTGTATCGGCGATTGGAGGTCGCCGCTCAGGAGTCTCTGAGCCTTCCCGCTCTCAGCAGTGGCACGTGGTGTGCACTGTGCTGGGCCCGCAGGCAGGCCATTGTGCAATATTATCACGAGCTTGCGTCCGCCGCGCCAGCATCGAATCCTCCCTTTACCTCATCGCACCTCCGTGTTGCCCAACAGCGGGTGCGCGGTGCCCTGCGCGCTGCGTTCGCACTTAATCGTCGACCGCGGATGCAGGGAGTGTATCAGCGCTCCCTGGCCGGCGACGCTTATCCTGACCAGTTGCAGTTGCTAATTGGTCGGCGATTGCGCGCATGGTTTTCTTGTCCGACCCCCATCCGGCTCAGGGAGCGGTGGGATTTGGTGCGGGACATCTTGAGCCGGGCTCCACCCATGGTGCGATGGCCGTACCTCAAAAAGATTGCGGGGGGATGGACGACCACTCACCGCTTGCACGTCACGGACATCAAGTGGAGCTGCATTTTCGGGTGCCCTCAACCCGATCGCATTGCACACTATTTGACGTGCCCCCGCCTCACCCATCTCGTTTGTCGTCCTCGAGCTGTCGTCTCGTCGTGTCCACTCCCCCGCCTCGGGCTTGGCCTTCCTGTGCAATATCCCGCGTGTGACCTCACCCGGGAAAATGCCATTTTAGCTACTGCCCTCAGCTTCTATATATACCACGTGGCCAAAGATATGGCCTCTCATCAAGACGGGCGCAATTTGCCCCAACAGCTAGATGCCCTCCAAGCGGCGCCAGCAAAGATGCCCAACAATTACTCGATTCTTCCGCCGCCGCCTGGATCGGCTAGGCCTTACCCCTGGCTGAAACCCACGAGGCGTTGAGTGCCCTGAGACCCGTGGACTCGTGGGGTACTGGCGCTCCTCCTCCTCCTCCTCTCCTCCTCCTCCTCCTCCTCCTCCTCCTCCTCCTCCTCCTCCTCCTCCTCCTCCTCCCCCTCTTGGCGCTGGCGCTGCGCGCAGGTCTGCCCTTCCTTCCCGCCTCCCCCTCCTCCCCCTCCTCCTCCTCGCCCTTAGACTACTTCTCTTCGTCGGACCACCAGGCGGCAGGGCGGGCCAGGCGTTCCGCCTCAGAGTTCCCCCCCCCGGTTTGCGGCCCCGGCGCTGGACATGTTCAACAGGTTCACGGATGGGCGGCAGGTCTTTTTCAGGAAAGAGGCTATCGTCTTGCCGCCTCGCGCACTCGTCCTAACTGCTCCCAGCAGTTGCACGGATGGATGGCAGTCTCTTCTTCAAACGTGGCCGTCGCCTCAGCACTGCGTGCATTCCTTTTCAAATCTTGCAACCGTTACACGGACGCAAGGCGGTTCATTTTTTGAAAAGGGGTCTTCACATCATTGCCGCGCACATTCGTCTTAAACATGTGAGGGAGGTTCGTGCAACAAATGCGGCTCTCGTGCGGGTGCCGCGCACAGTAGTGCTCAACATGTCCAACAGTTGCACGGATGGAGGGCGACCTCCCATCAACAATCAATTTTATTATGAGACTTCCTTTATCCATGTGGTCAGGAGTCTACACTTGCAACAACTAAACTGATCGAGGGCGGTTCCCTTTCTACACGTGCTCCAAGGAAATGGGCCTGGGTGCCCGTCTGGCGTCTCCGTGCTCGCCGTCGCCGCCCCGTGCTCGCCGTCGCCGCCGCGTCGCGTCACCGCCTCGTCGCCGCCCGTCGGCTAGGCCTGCGTGCCGGTCTGGCGTCGACGCCTCGTCGTTGCATTGCTTTACATTGCGTTGTATTGCCTTGTTTTGCATTGCTTTGCATTGCTTTGCATTACATGGCATTGCCTTGCTTTGCGTTGCTTTTCAGTGCTTTGCACGGCATTGGTTTGCCTTTTTTGTGCATTGCTTTGCCTTGGTGCATTGCTGTGCATTGCTTTGCATTGTTTTTCCTTGCTTTGCATAGCCTTGTACTGTTTTGTCTTGCTTTGCCTTGCTTGTCATTGCTTTGCGCTGCTTGCGTGGCATTGTTTTGCATTGCTGTGCGCTGCTTGTCATTGCTTTGCATTGCTTTGCGTTTCTTTGTGTTTTTGCATTGCCTGTTATTGCTTGTTCGTGCTTTGCATAGCTTTGCGTTGGCTTGCATGGCCTGGTATTGTCGTTGTCCTGCTTTGCCTTGCTTTGCATGGCGTTGCCTCGCATTTCTTTACGTTGCTTTGCGTGGCTTTACATTTCTCTGTATTGCTTTGCAATGCCTGGCGTTGCTTGTTCGTGCTTTGCATTGCTCTGCATTGCTTTGCATTGCGTTGCGCCGTGCTTAGCATCGCTCTGCATTGCTTTGTTTTTTTTCGCTTTGCTATGGTTTGGGCACGCCTGCTGGAGGTGCGCCTTGGAGTGCCAATTCCGTACGCTCCATTTCGAGAGTTCCAAAGGGCGATAGAGACAGTACCTCCCCTCGTTGCTCTTTGAGCTAGGTCGCCCTACGTTCCCATCATCGTCCCTCTCCCTTGCTCTCCTGTGTCTCCTGGCTCCGTGGCCTCTCTCTCTCTCTCCGCTCGCGCGTGTGCCCGCTCCCTTTGCACTCCTCCTGTCGTCCCCGCTTGTCTTCGAGGGGTGCTGGTGCAGTAGATGACGATTGTAAAGTATTTGCTTCCGCGCCGGTGACTCGTTTTTTTGTTTTCTCCTGTGGCCTCCTGCAGCTCTTGTTTTTTTTTTCTCTCTCTCTCTCTCTCTATATATACATATCTATATATATATAGACGGACAGCGAGAGAAAGAGAGACAGAGAGTGAGAGAGCGACACGACACACGTTACATATATATATGTATATATATATATATATATATATATATATTCCAAGGGGTATGAGGAGGAGGAGGATGGGGAGGAGGATGAGGAGGAGGATCAGTAGGACGAGGAGAAGGAGGAGAAGGAGGATGAGTATTTTGGGGAGGAGCGCTTGAAACAGGAGGGGTATGTGGGGCACTTGGGAGGAGGACGAGCAGGAGGAGGAGGAGGACGAGGAGGAGGAGGAGAAGGAGGAGGAGGAGCAGGAGGAGTAGACGGAGGCTTCGGACGAGGAGGAGGAGGAGGAAGATGCGGAGGAGGAGGACTGGGAGGAGGCGGAGGATGAGGATGAGGAGGATAATGAGGAGGAGGAGGAGGAGGAGGTGGCGCATGGCGCAGCGGCCAGCGGCATATCGGATAAAGAGCTCATCGAGATGAAGAGCGTCGCGGCGATGATGACAGGGTCCACGACGAGGGGCGAGCAGTACATTTTATTCAGCCACGCGGCGTGATCGTCTATTCTTACATGGGGCACAGTGCGAGGTCTGATCGCTGTGGTCACGCTGTCTGTGCAGAAGGTTGGTTGGAAGATTCTCCCATCTACGGTCGTGCAAAATGACCAAGGCACGCGTTGATCGATCTTACAGGTAAGCGCCTATGCTTCTTCGCGACCTGCTGCAGACAGGTATCCAGCGTTGGAAGGTGCAGAGGGTTGTGGCTCATCATCAACAGAGTGATCCAAACACTTTACTTTGAGCTCAGGTTTTACGTGCATGCTTGGGTGGGCCCACGGCTACGCTCAAGAATCCTAAAGTGGCTGGAGCTCTTCGGTCGCTGTGGTCGGGCTCTCTTTGGACGAAGGTACGATTGATGGCGCACAACACAGTTGATAACGCGTTATGTCGGGCATGCCCATGAGACGACGGGACCACAAGACACGTTTGCTTCAAGTGCGACGCGGCGAGCAAGTGGCTTTCAGAGGGTGGGGATGAGCACCCGATGCTTGAGGAGTTGACGAAGTTCAGAGACACGATCGCCCAACATGGTACGATACACCGCCCCGTTGTCACTGACGGGTACTTCGAGCTCAGTGTTGGATTACCGCAAGTACCAGGTCCCAGTGATTATGCTGACTCCGATCCACCAGTGCATTTTTTGGGGTGTTTGCCAGGCTGTACGGCAGAATGGCCGGGCACAGTATTTACTGATGGGTCTGCTATACCATCTGGTCTCCCACAGTTGCGGCGATGTGGATGGGCATGTGTGCAGATGTCTCCTGACGGCTATCATGTGCGGGCGGTATATGGAGGGCTGCCAGGTATCCAACAGACCATGGGCGCGGCAGAACGGCATTGTCTTCAAGCGCTGCGTTACTTCCAAGGCGTTCAGTTGCTCGTCGCTGACCGTTCGGCCCTCATTTCGGAGGGCGCGCCAGGTGGGATATGTATGATACGCTTTCAGGTGCACGACATGTTGGTATATGGTGATATGTATTTGTCTTTGCTAATGAACAAGATAGTAAGCCTCCTGCATTTGTTTGGTGCCCGTCGCATTTGGAGCTGGACGAAGTCGCAGCTGGCATGGCTAAGCGCGGGGCTAACTTT